AAATGTTGTATTTTCCAATCTTTTCAGCTGGGGACAAAAAAGTCTCAAACAAGAAAGAAAAAGGTAAACAATTGAACATTCTTTATCTCTCAATGCTGATTTATGTTTCAAATCTAAGTGTAGTTTGCATTGTAAGGATATTCTCTGTTCTGATCACATGACTGGTCAAATATGGCTGTGATTAGAAACCTTCCTTAGCAGTCAATTAGTACATGTAGCTATAATTAAGAGTCTCCCCCCTTGAAGGAGAAGGTCACTCCAAAAAATGTACATATATTTTTGTTCAATGCTAATAAAATCCTCGCACTAAGTTTAGCCTCTCACCGAAGCTTCAGCCTCTAAAGTGCAGGTTTTGCACTTTAGAGGCTGATTTGATCATAAGAGCACTCTAAGTTAACTATTGCGAATGTCCATTGACAACCCTCTATAACTATACTATCATTTTGTTGAATCATAGCCAAGAAAGCTTCATCAGAGGCACAGAGAAAAATCTGTGCTCAGCTGGTTGCTTCAATAACAGCACCCTTTACGGTAGCAGATGATTCTGAAGACAGCATAATCTCATCTAGCAGTGGAGAGTCTGACACAGAAGTCAACACCCCACAGCCATTGGTACAACTACCATCCCAACTTATGCACCGGCCACAAGTTGGGATGAAGACACCAAAATCTTCATTTCCCCCTACAAAGTGCATCAATGTGCATTGCAAGGAGGAGAAAAGGGAGTTAAAGAGGGAAGTTGAAAGTCTGAAGTAGGAATTGAAGATTGTAAGTACTGCACATAATAAAACATTGTTTTACACTTAAATGAAAGAAGTAATTGCAGGGATGCAGCGAACAAAAAGTTGCTGGATTATCAACAAGCTGAGCTGGCTTCTCAGCCTGGCCAGTTTACATATACGGTACCTTCAACATTACTCATTTAGAGTCTTTTCTTTCTTGTGATATGTCAGCCAGGGATAAGTTCCTTTTGGCTGGTGAGATTAGCAGTTAAAGTCAGCTCAGTTGTTGATTCACTTACTGATTAAGAAATAAATTCCCCAAAAAATTACACAAGCATTAAAGAGTATTAAGTTTAACACCACATCTAACCTTCACAGGAAATGATGTGTAATTTTCAGTTCATATTTTACAACTTTTTACACATATCAGTGAGACATTTACAAATTTAAAGAAGAAAGGACATATACTGGTTGTACTCCATCGGTCATGAAACAAAAAGAGATGACCTTTTTAAAAATGTGTTATGATTATAGAAAATTAGAACTGATTTATTGTTCACTCAAGTACAGTTACTAACATGTAAATTACCAGCAATATAACCAGGCTGTCACATGTAAAGCTAACAATCCATTCCTTATTAGTTGATGTTCAGTTCCCCAAACATTTAGACCACATCAAAGATTCNTTAAGAAATAAATTCCCCAAAAAATTACACAAGCATTAAAGAGTATTAAGTTTAACACCACATCTAACCTTCACAGGAAATGATGTGTAATTTTCAGTTCATATTTTACAACTTTTTACATGTATCAGTGAGACATTTACAAATTCAAAGAAAAAAGGACATATACTGGTTGTACTCTATCGGTCGTGAAACAAAAAGAGATGACCTAAATGTGTTATAATTATAGAAAATTAGGACTGATTTATTGTTCACTCAAGTACAGTTACTAACATGTAAATCACCAGCAATATAATCAGGCTGTCAAACGTAAAGCTAACAATCCATTCCTTATTAGTTGATGTTCAATTCCCCAAACATTTAGACCACATCAAAGATTCAATTTATAACTAGGGGGAGACCTGCACTGTAAGTAGTT